TACCATTGCGAGAGATTCTAACATCGACCCTTGACATTCAATGGTGTTGCCCTCGGTGAATCCCCCAACTACCAACATCCTGGATGCTACCACTGAGAGATAATCTAACCATCTCCCATTGATATTCAGTGGCATAACAATAACTTAACCCCATCATGATCAACTTCTGAGGGTTACCATTGAGAAAGAATCTCACGTTTGCCCCCTTGACGTTCAATGGAATTGCTATTTCTGAATTCCCCAATGTCATAATCTTGGGGGTTACCAGCAAGAGAAAATCTAGCAATCACCACCTTGACTTTCAATAGGGTCACCATCACCAAATTTGCGAATATCTATATCATGATGGTTACCATTGAGAGAGATTCTAGTCATTGCCCTCTTCATATTCAGTGATGTTACCATCGCTGAATCCCCCCACTGTCAATATCCTCCGTTCTACAGTTGGGAGGGAATCTAAACATCACCTCTTGATGCTCAATCTGATGAGGGTCTCTGCCTCTCCCACCCTTACAGACAGTGAGTTCCAGATTCCATAACTAATCCCCTTGCTCCCAGCCCTTGACATTGAGACCTCTATCAAGAGGGAACCGTTTCTTCCTGTCCAAACTATCTATGCCCCCTCATCATTTTATGCATCTCAATCATGTTCTATTCCCTCTCAATCTCGTCGGCTTTAAATAAAACAATGCCAGTGATATGACAGCAGACTTTAAGAGAAATATAGACAGATATATAAACAGGTAGGCAATAGCTGGAAACAGATGGTGTGCTGGAAGATGGAATTACTATAGAATGGCATCATGTTCAGCACAGACATGGTGGGCAGGAGTGTCTGTATCTATGTTGACTGTGCCATTGATTCAAGGAGAGCAACGCTGTAGTTGTGAATAAGATGGCTTCCTTTAATTGATATGTTAATTTGAAGGAGCAAATCCATTTTTTTTTAACTTTGATGAATGTCTTGAAACAAAAGATCAATCAATGCTCTTGACATCATGTTGCCCTTAAACAAATAAATACTTCACTAGAAAATAATTGTTTATTCCTTACCTTCAGATCCAATTGCAGTGCGATTGAGAGGTGGAGACGGCCACTGTTCAGGGAGAGTTGAGATGTATTACAACAACACCTGGGGAGCTGTGTGTGATGATGGTTGGGACATCCTTGACGCAACTGTCGTTTGTAAGCAAACTGGATGCGGACCTGCCCGATCGGCTCCAG